ATACGTGCGTAAGACCTCCGTGTCGACGCCCCGTCGAAGGGTCCGACGCGACGGCGCCCTTTGCGCCAAAGTCCCGAAGACACGAGTCAGTCAATCCCTATCTGCTTTCGATTCCTCTCAGCCACCCTCCGTCTTCATCTCTCTTCACGTCCCGGGCGCGTTCCCCTTGCGCCTTACGTCCGCGGAATTTCGATGGTCTTCGAAACAGATTTATCGCGCCTCCTTCCGAGCTTCCGGGACTCTCTCGATACCTCTTGACCGCTCGAGTTATCGATCACGTGGGACGCGATGGCTAGCTCGGAATTATCGTATCCGGCGCTTGCATTTTACCTCCTTTTTTTCTTCTATTTTCTTTTTACTTCCTCTTCGTATGAGCCTCGCGAGTTGCCGATACGTTGAATTCTTTATGAACACTTTGCGGACGATTCATCCGCAAGGAGATGAAAACGGAAGAATAAAGAGTTCGAAAAACGCGTTCGGAGACTCGGTTTTGTCTAGTTCAATTCTTGACACGTGAAAAGACACTTGTCGTTCGCAACAATGACAATAACGACAATAACACTACGACAATGATGACGACGACGACGACGGTGACGACAATGACGACAATGACAATGATGGCGAGAGCGATGTCGACAAAAGCGTCGACGATTTTCGTCCTTTCGGAGCTTTTCGTCGCCTGAACATTGCGTTATCTCGTCCTCGCTTTTGTTTAGCGTCACTTCTTATCGTCGGCTGAGGCGACGAAAGTTATCGTTCGATCGCGGCTACGGGCGAGGCGTCATCAAGAAATAAATGGCCGAGAAGCAAGGAGGTTAAGCTGCTTTTTCGCCGCTTAACCGTGCTCCTTCGTTATCCGAGTCTTGGCAAGACTTCCGAGACATTAAAGAGAAGCAACGTTCGGAGACAGGTCGGCGGTTAAGCCCCGAGCTTATGGTTACGGTTAATAGCAGCGATTAACCCTTTGCGGAGCCAATCTTTAAGCGTGGATAAAAAATCACGCGAGATTAGCGAGGGATATTGGAAACTCCTCGGAAAGGACGATACGATGTCGGCTTAGCGAGAAAATATTTTTATTAAGAAGATCGAAAAGTGTAAAGCTGCGCTACAAATATTATGAATATCTATTATTAAATTCTTTCGCTCTATTAATTGTTCATAAAGTACCGTAAAATATAATTTGTACGTTATTAAATTTTATTGCGTCTTGTATAATTAAATTTTTATTAATATCCTCGTCGCACTCGCACTTATATCTCAGATTGTATCTCAAATAATGATGCGATGAAATCAAATATATTTCATATATAACGTTATCTCGTTTTACAAATATTTCTGTTATACAAGTTTAATTTTGCCAAATTTTATCAATTGTGTTAAATATAACTTTATTTGAATATTTATTTGATAAAATTTCCTTTCGAAAGCAAAGGAAATATTACGAAATAGAAATTTATATTATGTCACTTTTCGGGACTTACATATCATAAAAATATTTTTCTTTAATTATACCTTTGTGCGATATGCTAAAACTATGATAAAGTTTCTTATTAGTTTCACCTCGAGTCGTTTATCGTAAAGTCAGCCCCGTCGACCTGAATACATTCGATCCTTCGTTATCGCTCGAGGATCTTGGGTCCCAGTCAGCAGAAACCACCTAATCCTCCGGAAAACCCTCGTGAAAAAGCCTCGATCTTCAATTCATCCTGTCCCGTTCCGTGCGCGATCGGGCGGCGAAGCGGAAAGCCTCGCCGCAACCGGAAGTCGGACGGTCTCGACCAGCGAGAGAGAGGCTTCTTTTTTAGAACGAGAATAATGACTCGAATTACGGTCATTTTCTGTGCGACCGCACAGGTGTCCGATTGTGCGCGCGACGGAAATCGCCCCAACGTAGACACACACACACACACACGCACACGCACACGTATATATATATATATATATATACATGTACATACTCACACATACATATCTCGCATCGTGGTGGCTAGCCATCGCCGCCGCCACCGCCGCCGCCACCGCCGCCGCCACCACCGTCGCCGCCGCCGCCACCGCCACCATCGCCGCCGTACACGTGTCACCTGCACTTCCACTGCACGTCAGTAGCCGGCATTGCGGATATAGTAAAACTAACGCCGCGAGCTGACGAGGTGCACGACCGCGTTAAACGCACCGCGCGCGGCGGTGCATTTGAAGAGCCGGATTTAAAAGCAGCTCGAGTATCGGCGAGCGTCGAACGGTCGAAACGTTAAACGATTTAGCGCTCGAAAATTAAATTGGATACATTTTAATATGTCGCACTGACGCGAGATACCGCGATGAGGAATCGCAAGTTACTTTTTACAATTTCACGTGATTTTTATATTTGTAAATTATATCGCACAGTTACGTAGCAATTAATCCTGATTAATTAGAAAAATAAACATTGGATGATATTCAGGCGATGTTTGATATAAGAAAATGATATGAGTGTGAAATTATTAATTATTTCAAAGTTGCACTTATTTCATCATTTTTCGAATCACGTGCGTCTACATTGATAATATTAGAAATTTGGTAAACTTTATGATAGCAAGTCTATATATATACTTCACTTAGATTATTGATCTTTTTTTCATCGCATATATCCTGTTATATGTTTCTTTGAGCTTTTCAATCGAATTCTTGTCTCTCGTTATCTCGACTTTAGAGTACGGCGCTCGGATCAGTATTTAATTGAACTTCTCGGTTTCCCCATTACGTGAAAAGCCTGTTCTTCTGGCTAGGCGCCGTCTGGAATATCGAGGTCGCTTCGTATATCACGGTCGGAAAAATCGTCATTGACATCCGGTCAACAGTCAATTACCGTTCTCTATCTCGGGCACGAAACGAATCAAGGTGTGCAAACGCATCGGCGAAACTGATTGATATAGAAGATGTCTTAAGATTAGAAATCTTATAAGTTCCGTAACAAATTTTTATTTTTCCTCCGAGATTTCACGGACAATTTCGAGCAAGACTTCGTAAACTGAAAATTTCATACCTGAGACGAAATACTTCAGTAATTAAACCCGTTAATCAAACCCGTGTTAAGTGTCTACATTTAGTGTCTACATTCGGTTTGCATTCTCTGTTACTCGCCAACTGTCGAAGATAAACCATTGAGTTTGCCTTCACTCTGGCGATGATTCTTTCGGAAACGTTGAGATGAGAATTCGGTGGTTCAGTTTGATTGGCGAATAACAAAGATTTCAAAGGTTTTAACGTGACCGCCGCGTTCACGCGTTGACCAATAATAAATAAAACAGCAATTAAAATTTTATTTTATCAGCTATAATCTAGAAGTTTACGTAGAGAGTCGACTATTTATGGCTTTTACTTTTTATCGCTCTCATATTCTTAATAAGAGAAATTTAATATCAGGTTTAATAGCAAAGACGATTTTCAGATTAGTTACAACGTGTAACGCGCGCAATTATTAAGTAGCGATGAATAGATGATAGAGTACAAAAGATAAAATAGACGGTGGGCTGGGATATCTTTTGAAAAATTGATCGTGAAGCGCTCTCATACAGCCCAAAGTGAATCGCATTTAATTATTTCTTGGTTGCGCCGTAACGACAAAAGCGGATCGGACTACGCACGTACTCGGCAGTCTGGCTGCAAGCAGAGGAACGATTATATTCGTCTCGAAAAAACAGAGACGGATTAGCACCTTCTCGCTCTTTCTTCCCTCCTTTTGCCCTCTTTCCCCCCCTCCTCTCTCTCTCTCTCTTCCCTTTTCTCTGTACGTTTAAATTCGTTTCAGAAACATATTAATTTTAATAGGTCGGCATGCATTATTCAAACAATTGAAGCATCACATCACTGGTATTTCATAGCAATGCTGCATCTCGTAATACGCATTTGCATGTTAGGATGTTTACTACTTGGAAAAGCTTGGAAAACTCGAAATTCTCAAGGAATTTGTTTATACTCTGAAAAATTAGGGGATTCTTGGGGAATTTTATTAAAAGAAAATTTTTTCAAGTTTTATTTTTTTTAATATTTTATCTTTATATTATTATCAGATATCAGATTATCAGTTTACTGATTGAATTGTTAACGATAAAAATGGATTCTAAACATCAAATCACATTGATTTTACGACTAATTCAATATTCAATATTGAAAACAACGACTTTGCTTTAGGTGCAATTTTGTTTCATGAAGACGGATATTTATTTTAATAATTTTATAAAATTTGAATTTTGTACCGATTATGTATTATATAATTGTTGTAATTTGTTTGTAATTTTTCAAAATGAAATTTGAAAATTTTATTAATACAAATATTTATTTTTTAGAGTTCCCAGTTTCTTTCAAAATTTTTCAAATTTAATTATTGAAATTTGAATTAATTATATTTTATAATTCGAATCTTAATTTTATTTTATAATTTATATATTTTTATGAATGAAAAATATTAAGGCCTTTACACAATAGACGTATATTTGCAAAATACATTTAAAAATATTTTCATTGATCTAAAATTTTTTTAACAAATTGCTTGAATTTGAGGGAATTTTTTTTTGGATATCACAGAATTTTTTTCCGAATAGAATAGCCCGACGTTAGTTTTATGTTCCGAATTGGTAAAAATGTGCGCGAATCGTTGGAAACGTTTGTCCATTGTATTTCAATGCGCTTGGCACGGTTCGGTTTAACTGGACATAATAAGAAGCATAACGTACGATAAAGATCGCCGGGCGCGTTA